ACTCGATCCCTCTGCCATGTTAGGCTCTGAACCTACAAGGCAAGAAATCGACAGAACACGGGTAGGCTCTCCTCTTAGAGACGTACGAGGATCCCATGGAAGTCCCCGAGGCTACTAGGTCACCATGTGTTGGTGATCTAGACTCCCAGGATGCCTATGTGACGAAGKGGGASCTACAAACCTTCGCCACAGCGGTATTCCAAAAGATGGACGAGTTGAAAAGCTTGTTCATCTCTYGCACGATGACAGAAGACCTTTCTTCAATCACAGAGGCTCTGAAGGAGTCGACCTCTACAACGGCAGACTTGAAGACAACTCTTTCAACCCTTCAGAGCACTATCCTACAGAAGGATGATCTTGAAGAGGCGTTCAGTGCTCTCTCGCTCAACCCCTCCTCCATTCAGAAGCTGAAGTCAGAACTGACAGAGATGGCTGCCCAATTTGTTGCTGATTTCGTCTCTGCTGGCTACACAGATTACTCCAAATTCAAAAGACGAAATCAAGCAAATGTTTTCTTCTGCAGTCACTTACGGCGTGGACACCAAATCCTTAAGGGCCAACATCAATCATCTAGCAACTTGCAGAGAGCTCGATGCCATGGTTGAAGCCTTAGGGGATATTGTGCGCAAACATACAGACCAACTTCTCAAAGAGGCCCGAGCCTCCAACGAGGCCATAAGAGACTGCACATCACAGCTCGTGAAAGAGGGTGACACCCTTCGTAGCGAAATATTTAGAAGCGTCTCAAAGTTGAAGTGGTCGACAGAGATTGATATAAGTCACGCCTCTGTGCTTGCAGAAGAGGCGATCAAGAAAATGAAGAAGGCGGCCACCAAGATTCTAAGGAGATTGGAGAAGGCTCCCCTAAAAACTTGCAAGGCAGAAGTCACCAAACACCATGATGATCACGGATGTGATGACCATGATCGTCATGAGGGGGAGAAAACAGCTGAGCCCAAGAAGACTTCTACCAGACCACTCAAGGTAGTGGACTCTACAGCTGCCTTGTTCTCAAAAGGCAAAGAAAAGGCACCAGAGCCTAAAGACAATGGCAAAGGCAAAGCTGTGGAGGAGACACCACATAAGGGGTCGTCAAGCTCAGAGTCGCTAGTGCAGATAAACGAAGAAGATTATGATGACCCAGAGCTCCTTCAAGCATTAAAAGTGTCTCTGGCAGAAGCTCAAGCAAGAAATGGCAGAGGCCCCATTCCTAGAGCAGAAGAAGGCTCTTCATCAAAATACCCACAAGTCCAAAAAGAAACGTCCACGGGTACGTTAGACGCTCTGCAAGGAACCGTCAAACCTATCCTTGCAGAGGGGTCAACCCAGAGGCCAATACTTGAAGAAGAGGAAGCCAAAGTGCCAGAGTCCGCCACAGTAGGAAGAGTTTCTGAGATATTCGAATCAATGAGCAAGATTCCTATGCAACAAGTACGCACAGAGCCTGTTACTACTGTGGAAGAGATTCTGATGTGGAGATACTCTGCAGTAGACACAGATCCCCCCTATGATCCAAAGCTCACAGGTATTCCTTCTGCTGATGCCAAGTTCCAGTTCTCTAAGCTCACCAGGCCACGTGAGGAAGTCTTCTCAGAGCATGTGATTGTGTCACTTGAAACAATTTCTCCAAGGACCTGCTGAAGAGGACGGTGCTCTATGCTCAATATGTTGTGAAGAGGAATGACGGCAACCTATACACGTTCACAGATGCTGACCTCCACAACCTTTGTGTATTTGATTTGATCTTCTTGCACAAAATACTTAACAAATACATGGAGAGGAGGTCAATCTATGCTCTGTCGCTTAAAAGGCTTATCGAGGTCATGCGTGCAC